CCTAAAGACCCTTCTGCTCATCTTGCACTCTTTGCCGATGACACCGCCATACTTACTAAATCCTGCACAGTTATCACCGTAAGAACCAACTCAAACTATCTCGTAAAACTGGAAAAATGGCTCACCCTTTGGAGGATTAAAATTAACACTGATAAAACTAAGTCAATAATTTTCCTTAAAAGAAACATGAAATACTATCCTCCCCCCTGAAATATTTGACGAAGAAATAGACTGGATTAATGAAACCAAATACCTTGGAGTCACCCTTGATTAAAACCTTACCTTCAGAACCCCCTTCTGATCCCTAGTACAAAAATTTTAAATCACCACAGCTATTATGCGACCTCTTTCTTGGTAGAAAAAGCAACTTATCTACTACAAACAAATTAATTCTATATCGCTCCATACTTCGCCCAGGACTCCTTTATGCAGCTCCGATCTAGGGACATGCAGCTAAAACCAATATTAAACAATTACAAATTCTACGAGAAATTATCAATGCTCCTTGGTATATTCCAAACATCTACATTCACAGAGACCTTCAAATCGAAAAAAATGTTGCTTTATGTGTGTTTGAAAACAAACTATCGAGCTAAAAATTGTAAAAGCAAAGTTCTATGCATGTTTTGTGATAGGAAGCATTATATTGTTTGTTGTCCTGAATTTAAGCAGAAATCGAAAGTTCCTGTCGAGTACAATCAAGAAAATTGTGAAATTAGCACTCTTTCTTCAACAGGCACTTCAGGAAGAGTTTTGCTTCAAACTTTAGTGGTTTCACACACAGCTCGTATTTTATTCTCGAGTGTCAAAGATGTAGAAACATCTTTTTACTCGACTTCTGATAAGGATAGGGTGGGAGGAGAAAGAGTAGGGTGGGAGGCGGAAAAAAGAGAGTCAGGTCCGCACTAGCGGCTGCGAAAAAAAGGGGGGATTCACTCTTGATTATCAAGAGTATATTAAACGATTAGCGGTCAACTTTTTTATTCAGTACAAACCCACCTTATTAGCACTCTCAGACACTCTCCACATCCTAGTGAAAAACATCGGTACCCATGTCACATCCTACCCACATAAGAATTATAGCCTTGACTCATTCACGCTAAACTGACTCTGCGGTTTACCACCCGCGGCTACATCTTATAACGACACTAAACTTGCCACCCCCCTCCTTTTTTTTCGCCGCCGCTAGTGCGGACCTGACTCTTTTTTCCGCCTCCCACCTGATCCTTTTCAGAAGTCGAGTAAAAAGATGTTTCTACATCTTGACATTCGAGAATAAAATACGATCTGAGTGTGAAACCACTAAAATTTGAAGCAAAACTCTTCCTGAAGTGCATGTGAAGAAAAAGTGCTAATTTCACAATTTTCTTGATTGTACTCGACAGGAACTTTTGATAAATTCAGGACAACAAACAATATAATGCTTCCTACCACAAAACATGCATAGAACTTTGCTTTTACAATTTTTAGCTCGATGGTTTGTTTTCAAACACGTAAAGCAACATTTTTTCTCTTTCATAATTTAAAATTTTTCATGGAACAGCTTTAGTATAGCCCACCTTCAAAGTTTGGCGAATTTGGTTTGGCGCCAAAGCACATGAAATACGTTGTTTTGAAAAATGGTTGTCATCCAGATTTTCGACGAAACTCCGTGTTTCAAAAAATGGCGGCCATCTTGATTTCACCAGAAATCGTGGATAATAGAAATAAGTTTACGACTATTATACACGATTTTAAGAGAAAGAAATATTAAGAAATGATTAATAAAAATGATTAAGGTTAAAAGGATGTAATTTTAAAAAACAATACCGGAAACCTTTAGCTATTTCACCTTTAATAAATAATTTGGTGTGACGTCACAATGTATTCTTCCATGCTACGCGTAATTTGTATATTTTCTCTTTAAAAAAAATAATGAATTTGTTTATTATTGTAAATTAACATCAAATTCTTTAAAAAATTTACATTTCTGAGCTAAGGCGTAACTGAAAATAAGTATAATAAATTGTTTGATATTTAAAATTATCATGATACAGTAAGCGAATTGTACCAGTTATTACAACGATAAAGAACGTCGCAGTCTCTCATACTTGTATTTCATACAGCTTCCATATTTTCAAAAAGATTTTTAAGCTTTAGCATTTATACAAATAAAAAACAGATTTTTTTTAATTAATACTCTGGAACATATCAATTTTATCATATTTACAAAATTAACGTTTTGCTACGTAACAACATAATCCCTTATATACCAGTAAGTAGACAATTTTCATTATTTTCTAAAAATTTTAAACTTCACATTAATGAAAAACAGGTTCTTAAATTTCTAAATCACATTATATTCTCTGTAGGCAGGCATACTAGAATTCTACACATAAATAAATAAAAAATTTAATTTCTCGCAATGAAAGAAAAATATTATAAAAAAAAAATACTACAAATTAGGAACACTAAGCAATGCTTCACATACACACACACATACAGTGTCTCACAAAAGTGATGGGACACTTGTGCTTTACAAAAGGAAACTGTAGTAAATAAATGAAAAAAAACATGTAAAAATTTTTTGTGGGTGTGTTTCATACTTAAATTTAGTAAGCAATTATTACATAACATAATACATTTTTCTCAAAATATTAAAATAAATTTAATAAAAATACAATTGTTTAGAAACGGCGCAAAAATGGCTCACATAAGTGATGGGGACACTTACTTTTCCATCAAATATTTATCCAAAAATTTTACTTTATAAAAGGTTTTAATATTTTGTTGGATTTCCTTTTACTTTTTAAAACATGATTTAATCTTCTTGGGATGGATTCGACTAATTTTTTTTTGCGATTTCTGGAGTGATTTTACCCCATTCTTCTTGAAGCACCGATTTTAATTGTTGTTTTGAAGAAATGGTTGTGTTTGCGAAATTCTTTCCCTGGAGTTTTCTCCACACCAAGATTCAAGATTTACCGTCAGAATCAAATATATTAAATTTACTCTCATCAGCAAATATAACTTCATTCCCAGTAATCAGAATTCCTTATTTATGTTGGATTTTTTCGAAAGCCAGTCTGATGTTTCTATTCTTTTCACTCACGAAGAATTTTTTCCTGGCTGCTCTACCGTGATATCCAGCAGATCGAATTACTCTTCCAATAGTCTCAGGATTAACAATTACTCCATATAATGCTTGTAAATCAGGCAGCAACTTTAGGAGCACTCATTCTTGGATTTTTTTTTAATATTTCGAACGATAATTCGCTTTATTCCATTGGATAGCTTTGATGGTCGGCCAGGTCTTCTTTTATCCTGAATCATATGATTCTTTTTATATCGTTTAATGATATTAAAAAACTGTTGAATGACTCAGGTTAACGGTTTCAGCAGTTTCTCTAATAGAATTTCCACGTTCAATATGCAAATTAATAACTAATTTTCGAATTTCAAGCAAAGTTTCTTTTCGTTTAGCATTCATGGCTGCACAGAGATAAAAAATACAAGAATTCCAAAACAAACTGGAGAGAAATACTGCAGACGATTGCGATAAATTATTGCCAATAGCTTTTGAGTAAAAATAAAAACCCCAAAAAATATTTTTATTGCTTACTTCAGACGATTTTTGTTGCATAGTACGTAGTAGTATCTAATGGTGTCCCATCACTTATGTGAACCATTTTTTGCTCCGTTCTAAATTTTTATTAAATTAATATTTTGAGAAAATGTATGTGATGTAATAATTGTTACTAAATTTAAATATGAAAACACACCCACAAAAAAATTTTTACATGTTTTTTTTAATTTATTTTTATTAGTTTCCTTTTGTAAAGCACAAGTGTCCCATCACTTTTGTGAGACACTGTATTATCAAAGAACTCATATTATCAAGTGCGATTACGATTGCAAAAACTACGTATTATAATAATGAGGTAAAATTTACTTATAGGGTCAAAGTTTACAGTTTTGCTACTGTTGAGTAGATCGTCGAGCTATCGATATATATAGTAAGTCGGAAAGCATTATAAACATATCAAAACCAAAAAATTAAAAATACAATTTAAATGAAAAATGATGTCTTAAATATAATTCACAATTAAAAGAACAATACAAATTTAAAATACACAAACAATATGTTAAACATTGCATATAAAATACGTTACATTACAGCTCGTCATCACACATTATCTCGTTTTCCTTTGTACACAACGATCCGTATTCGCCCGAAAAACACATCAAAGCTCGGTGTCCATGTACACATCCATCTATTTCCACCTTAAAAATATCAGAGAATTGCACAACCTCGGCATTGCGCACTACATTGGCTATGGCCATGTACACACCGATCTATTTTCACTTAAAAAAACATCCAGAGAATTGCACAAACTCAGCATCGCGCACAACCTCGGCATTGCGCACTACATTGGCTTTGCCCATGTACACATCGATCTATTTTCACTTAAAAAACATCAGAGAATTGCACAAACTCGGCATTGCGCACTACATTGGCTTTGCCCATTGTGCACATCGATCTATTTTCACTTAAAAAACATCCTAATTGCAGCAAACTAGGCATCGCGCACAGCCTCGGCATAGCGCACTACATTGGCTCTGCCCATGTGCACATCGATCTATTTTCACTTAAAAAAACATAATATACTTGCAGAAACTAGGCATCGCGCACAACCTCGGCATTGCGCATTACATTGGCTGTGCCCATGTACACATCGATCTGTTTTCACTTAAAAAAACATCCTAGAATTGCACAAACTAGGCACCGCGCACAACCTCGGCATTGCGCACTACATTGACTTTGCCCATGTACACTCCAACGCCCACACCTTTTGCAAATAAGCAGAGGATACAGGACAACTTCAACAGCGGCACTGCAAGTCCTAACAGGGATACCACCACTAGACTTGGTGGCAGAGCGAGAGGCGGCCATCTCCAATACTCTCCGACTTGGAAAAGACTATAAACTCTGGAACAGGAACTTGAATACCTCGGAGTTTATGCACAAGATCTTTGACTATCCCTGCCACCCAGCCCAGCATAACCTCGCGGAAAATATATACACGCAGACACTTCTCTGTCGGCAGAACTCAATAGCCATCAACACGGATGGTTCCAAAACAAAGGATGGCACTGGATGCGGCTTATGCACAATGATCGATGGAGAAATCAAATACCGCTGGAAACGTAGACTCAATCCGAACAACACAGTCTACCAAGCTGAATTGTTAGCATTTAAAAAAGCAATCGATCTCTCATATGGTCACCAAGAAACTGTCTATATCTATAGTGACTCACTGTCGAGCATAGCCGCCATAGAAGGACCAGCCAGCCGAGACCCCTTCGTACTCAACATACAAAGGGCATTAGTCAACCTCCCACTCAATTATCGTCCCATCATTAGCTGGGTACCAGCGCACACAGGTGTAGTCGGCAACGAGCTGGCGGATGAACAGGCAAAACAAGCGGCTTCGGGTATCTTCCTGCCAGAACATGCTCTACCTCTGCCTTCCTCTTATCTCAAAAAGATTACACGCGGCGACCTTTACGCAGAATGGCAGCAGAGATGGGATACTTCCCGGACAGGTCGAAGGACGTATAAATTTATCCCAAAAGTTACAGACCTTGTCTTCTCCAACTCATCTTCATTGACTACGTTCCTCTCTGGGCACGGCCCGTTTCCTGATTACCTACACAGATTTGGACTTAGAGAGACTGTGATCTCTGTGAATGTGGACTAATCGGAGCGCCAGACCATTATGCATTTACATGCAGATTGACAGAGGCGCACCACATGCGTCCTCCTTCAGATAGATATTGGAGAGAATGGACAAAAGTGCTACTAGAACGGAGGGGTGCGTGCTTTAAACTTCACAAGATCATCAAGTTCTCTGCAGGGTACACTTTTCATTTGTCACCTAATACCTCCCCAGCGCATAACCCTGCTACCATAAGATAAGTAATATCTGTTTACTACTGTTATGTCCATATTATTTTCATCATACTCTTATCCTATTCGTTAGATGCATTTAACGTATTACCTTAAATACTACACTTTATGTGACTTTTACTTGACTGTAATAATCATCCTCGATGTGTTTATAGTATTAACTTAATTATTATAATTGATATCATATGCTTTCATTTTAATCTGAATTTTGTAACTACAGTATATGTTGTCAACACCATTAACGTGTCTAATATATTAATTTAATCATTATAATCGTAATCTTATGCCTTCCACTTAAATTGAATGTAGTAAATACATAATCCAACGTATATATATGTAAGTGGATTCCCATCAGCATTAAGTAATGAACTGACACTCTTATAAGTATGTTTCATAAGCAAATTATCTTAAGAATGTATTATATTATGTATATTTAAGCATTGCCATAAGTAATGTAAGCAAGATCCTGTATGCGTATCAATAATATGTGTTGCCAGTTGTACAAAATTTCATGCTTGTTTAATCATTGTACCATGGTATTCTGTGCTTTGCTTACTGTACTCAGAAACTTCATTCTTAGTACTCATTCATCTCAGTATGTTGCCATTTTTATCTCTTATGTTTTTATTGCATATTACCAAGAAGTGTCATGTAATCAAAATGCGCACTAAGTCATGTCAGCCATAGCACTTCCCTATATTCTTTATTATTTTACTGCTATGTAATTATGCCTTATTGCAAATCGTGTAACCTACTAAGCAAGCATATCTAATCTAGAATTTATCATGCGCTTACTTAGTATTAATAGTTATAAGATAGTTGCATCATTTCGATTTTTCCGCAAAAATTCCTGAAAACACAGCTGTATATTTTTGCATTAAATTAAGAAATTTTGAAACTTATAGTACTATTTGCGAACTTTGTTATGCACTTATGAGCTTTAGTATTAAATACTATTCTTTAGTTACTCACTATTAATCGTTATTAATGTATCTCAGTATCATTCATTTACTTACCTATTCAAATTTGCAATGTTCTGCATTCGAGTATTTAATTATTTATCTTATAATCCTATATATTATGTAAGCGCATATTATGAAACGCATATATTATGTAATATGTAAATAACGTGTTGGCTGCTAGGACCTATTTAATGTTTATAATATTCTGTGTGCACAGCTACTAATGAGTACAATATTTGTGCGGATAGTAAGTTATATAATTTGTTCATTGAGCAAAACAGTAATAATGTTTGATGCTATGTATATTTTTTTAATGCTATGTGTAATTTTTAGTGCTATGTATAATCTTCATGCTATGTATGTAATCTTCATGCTATGTATATCATCATGCTATGTATGTATGTATGTACAGTATGTCTTTAGTATGTGACACGGACAGATACGCAGCATAGATCAGGGTTGCCACTCAAACAGGAGAATAAAATTCCCTGACTTTTCCAGGTTTCCCAGGTGTGTTTCAAGAAAATTCCAGTCTATCCGCGTAATGTACATGTTGGCTGTGCCAAGAGGTAAATTAATTATGGCATTACTTGTGTTGTGTAGCAAATTCACTTAATTATTCAACTAAATCCCAGGGGACATTTATTCTTACTTATTCTTGGTATACTTTGTTTGATAATTTTGTTTACTTTTCCACTTAAGAAACTTAATAAAATTTAAGATATATACAATTGGATAACAAATGTATGTTTTTTATTTAATTATTACTCATGATCATCACCAGTTCAACATGAGGCTAATCCGGTCCTTATAAATCACAACGCAATGCTAAATAGTTAGGTTAGATTTTAGGTAAATTTAAAAGGCACTTTAACACTTGAAAACACAAATATAATTATAATAGTAGTTGTTTTCTTCACTGAAGATTGAGATTAGAATCTTCCCAATCTGGAATAAAATAAGGCTTTTTTTTTTTGCAGACATTCTGCAGCTAAACGAAAGAAAGAAATCTATTTTAATAAATTGAGGTATTTTATATTTATTTCGCAGCATACGTAAGGAAAAAATATGTGCATTAAATTTCGTGATTGTATGTCATCATACTGCTAGAATTAATTTCAGGATTATGCCAGAGAAAATTTCCTGAAATTTGAAAATATTATTTACTAATAATAAATAAATTTAGAGGGAAGAAGCAACATTAAATTATACGAATAACATAAAAATAAAGCTAATTACTTAAAATTGAATTAGAATAATCAACGATATTTTAGCGAATATAGTTAGTTATATTACATGGTTAGCCTAGATGACTGATTACTATTTTTTTATTTTACTGGAAAATGGCAAGGTATTTATTTAAAAAAAAAAGGGTTTAAAATATTTTGCGGTAAAATTCTAGCATACGGTAAGGTTTTGGCACGATTTTGAAAATTGTCGCCAAAACCAAAATGACCCGTTTACTGCGCATCATCGTGTCACCAAATCCCATTGTACCATACATGGAGATTATTCTAACCAAAGAACGTCTATGTAAAGAAGAAAAGGTTCCATACAAGTAAAATGCTATTACGCCGCTAGAATGCGGAGGGAAAATTTGCCAAGGGATTTGGCAACGGAACCTGGCGGCCAGAAATTCCTTCTCCGCGAGTGGTACCGAAATTGAGAAACACGGTTTTAAGAAGAAACGTTTCCTTTGACAAAAAGAAAGCTACGAAAATCAGTTTTTAAATTATTGCGAAAAATCCAAGAAGAAAACGTTTTATCAAAGGACGTTCTTCTGGATTTTTCGCAATAATTATAAAACGGATTTTCGTAGTTTTTTTTTTTTTCCCCTGAAAATAACTAATCCAGAATTAATTTACTTGCGCCAAAAAATTTTCTTTTTCCTTAGAGTTTAAACCACTTGCGCTAAGACTAAACTTCACGGGTTGCGGTGCCGTGCGTACATATAACAAGCGGTAAAGTGTCTCATTTACGCCGCTCCGCATCTGCGAGTGCAATCCAGAGCTGTAACTCGAGAAATAAACAATCTCGTTGTTAGGCGACGTGTGCATCACGTTATTTCATTTTTGCGATAAATGCTTATCGATGTGGTGTTCAACGTCGCTCGCGGTTTGAAACAAAAGCATCTCGACGTGCGTGCACGTCTTTTTAGCGCAAGTGGTTGAAGAAATTTTAAACGATTTCATTTTATGAACTCTTGATAACCTGACCTTCGAACTTCGACACCGGTTTCGAGCTTTGGCGACAGATATATCACCGCATGCACAGCTATTTCCCTCTATGATGGAACGGAGCCACGTAAGTTGCAGAGAGGTTTTCCTTCTTTACAATACATATTCTTTGATTCAAACGTCCATGGTACCGTATACTAGGATTAAACCCATTTTGTTTTATACGAGAACAGGTACTTTCTTTAGTTCATCCACTGCACATGCGATTCTCGAGAATACTGGAAACCAAAAGTTGCGGGAAACTTGCTTTGCCTTTCTAAAAGACAATCAAATTGGAGCTGCGAAAATTGGCTCTATGCCAGCTGCCCGAATGACACTCACGTGATACACAATTCGCCAAAAAGTTACCTCTTCCGACGTCGGCGCAAAAAATCGCTTTTTTTGGCGGGATCGTTGTATGAACTTCCCTGACTTTTCCAGATTTTGACAAAAATACTTAAATTCCCTGACTTTTACCTGAATTTTTTGGTCAATTTTCGAATTCCCTGACTTTTCCCGGTTCTCCCGGTTTTCCAGGTAGCGTGGCAACCCTGATAGATTAAGCCAAGTTCACCAATAACGATTTGTAGTGAAGTCCGGACACCTTACTAACTCAATGTACTAAATTTCATGCAGTGCTCTTAACCCATTACTGCCGATGGAACATTACACAATCAGAGCAATTGTAATTACACGCGCGTATGAATAATACTCAGCTCAGTACAGCACTTACATCTTTTCATGTAGCAGACAACGTCTGCAAAGGTGCCATTGTAACAACCATTACTGTGAATCGGTAACTTCTGACTTAGACTCAATAAATGCCGCTGGTTTGCGGGGCTCGCCCTGGCAGTGGCGGAAGTAGATAGTAGATAATTTCTGCAGGTCAGGCACTATTCCGATTTGTTATACCTGAGGCCGGAAGCCTGGTCTGTAGTGCTCTGCCCATGTACACATCGATCTATTTCCACTTAAAAAAACATCCTAGAATTGCAGGAACTAGGCACCGCGCACAACCTCGGCATTGCGCACTGCATTGGTTTTGCCCATGTATATGGCGATCTCTTTTTACTTAGAAATCAGAAATTGAATAAACTCTGCATTGCTCATATACTAAGGAATCTGCTTTCACTTAAAAGAAACCGGAGAATTGCAGAAATTCGCGCATAAGGAACTCCATTGATTCGCGTTAAAAAAAAAACGTTTCTAGAAAAATTGAGTTTACTACAGGCGAATCAAGATCCTAGCCTAATTGATTTCTCAGCCGTACATTTCTTGCAAATACTACCATTCGATGACTTTTTCTGACTAACTAACCAGCATAGTATCTTACATTTTTCACAGAAAACGTTATCCTTCAATAATCGACAATCCATCAAAAATCCTCTAAAAAGTTCATACTATTGTTAATTCATACATAAAATATCTGTTCCCAAAATTTTACGCTTGTTTGAAAACTCCCACCTTAAATTTTCCTTTATAATCTCCTGATATTTAATTACAACATCACTAACAGCAGTTTTAGAGCAAGCAACAACTAAACGCAAAAATATCACCTCAAGTAGCCAAAAATATATATACAAAACAATATTCACGGTATCTGAGCGTTAAACAATCGCCAATAACAGTGTTACGAATTGTGTATTTAGATATTAATTTTAGTAGAGTTCTAATTTAAAATATTGTATTTCCTCCTACAACGCAGCGTGAGACAAATTTTAAGAGAAACCTATACCGGAAAAGTAAGAATACAGCGCACGTGCATTAAACTTTGAGTAAACGGATATGTCGGTAATTTGTACTGAAATTGAATAAATGTAACTGACTACTAAATTAGCTGTAACCGTAATTCCATCCTCTTGTTTACATTGCGTTTGGCGAATAGTATGGGTTACCAGATCATATCATTTATCGCCGCTCTTGGCGATATTTTTTTGTTTAAAATTCCGGGTGGGCTATACTAAAGCTGTGCCTTTTTCATTATGACTTAAATTTTGTGCTTTGTAGCTATCTTTACTTTGAATCTTTATTTTGATGAGATTTTTCACATTTACAATTTATTACATTATTGGTATTTATTTCTTTTGCTCCCGAAAACGAGTTGCTTGCAGTAGGTATAGTAATATATCTTCCTTATCCTTATGAGTTTTTCTGTAGGAATCACTTTGCTTCATACCTGACTTTGCTAGAGTCATTCTTTCTTCCCTTTCGACCTCATCCCTTAGAAATTTTAAAAGCTGGGTCAGTTTTGATATGATTTCTCTTCATTTACTGAGTTTCTCAACCAAACTCTCAACACGTCTTCTGCAATACACGACTCCACAAATGGGAAAGAGCATTGCAGAATATTTGTCTGAGGTCATCCCAATGGTTTCTAATGATCTGAAGTTGAATTCAAGTTTATCATATAATTGAGTGATACTAAGCCTTGATTTGATAACATTTTTAACAACTAAAGTTAATAGTTCACGAACATAGTATTCCACTAGCAATTCCTCATGGCCAAAGCTTGCCTTGAGACTTTCAATCGCTTTTGTATAATTTTTTTGCCGTAGGTGGATAGCTATCGATAATCTTTTTCACTTTTGTAGCTGGCGACATACACTATATTAAATATTGGAATTTGTCTTCCAACTCCATTTATTTATGATTGTGAATTTGTTTAAACTGACTTTAGAAACACAAGCATTCTTTAACTTCACCGCTAAATTTCATTACTTCAAGTTTGGGAAGTTTTATTTTTGATTTCTCATTACTTAATATATTCCTGTTTGCTTGTGATTTACTTTCTATTAAAGAATTGACGAAAACTATAGCTTTATAAAATTTGACTTTATATTCTTCTACAAATTCAAATTCGTCGGAATAACTTTTACCATTATCGTCTGCAAGTTCTAAAATTTCACTAATGCGTTCTGAAGTAGCTAATTTAATCGTAACATTACTTATTTCTATATTTTCATCATGAAACAGAGACATTAAACTTTTATATGTCTTAATAAACGATGTTCGTAACGCTTCTTAACAAGATGCTCCATTGCAAACCAAAACCAAAAATTCAATTAATTATTTCTTAGATAAAGTATTTACCTCTTATATTTTAATCGTGTACTGAGGATCACCAAATGTTAGATAAGACAGTAAATGTTCACCATTTTGTCAGTTTATAAACTCATTTCTACCTAAATAATCTCCGTAAAATTTTAAACACAACCAAACAAGTTTATCCTACCCAAATATATCATTTTACAGCTGTTGCCACTCACATCAAAACTGAATAATGCTATACTCAACAGGGAGCTTCTCTTCTGAAGAACTATCCGTAAACAATTATAAAATTAGTGCATACTTTTCAGAAGCTTGTCTTTATCACTTACATATTTTTGGCGAATAAAGTGATTTATTAACTGTATTTTCCATTTAAAGAACTGTAGTACACTCAGAAGTGTCTGAGAAAAAATGTAGACTCAACATTTTTCACTTTTTGCGATTTTCATAATAATCTTTGAACTCAAATTTGAGGCCATTCTGGGAAGCAAGGAAGGTCCTGCAATAGACTATAATTCATTTAAGATTATTTGAAAGAATAATATCATATCTAACCAGATTTAGTAATTACTTGCACTTTTCTGTAATTACTTTCTATTTTACTTGTTGATCATAGTTTGTAAACGGAGAGTAGTAAAATGTTGATACAGTAAAATCTTAATTTCCCCCATTTATTGGGATGCTTCTCGTTCCCTTTCCTAACAAAACTGCAGATAAATCATTGGTTATAGTCCAGGGAAGAACTTAAAATTTATCACGCGATCATTTCACGCGACCTCTAGCAGTGAAATATATAATGTAAATAAAAAAATAAGAATAATCATAACAAATCCGCCATATTGTGAATTTCTTCCTCAATCGGTGTGAAATGCGCGTGTGTATACGAATTGTGCATTCATAGTAGAAAATTTCAAGTTTAATGTGTTTTAAGTTAAAAATATGTTTCTTGACACTGAATAATATTTGAAAATCAAGAAAATGCCTCCTAAACAAAGAAAAATAGCCATTATGGGCTATCGATCAGTTGGTGAGAAAAAAATTCCAATGAGCTCTCTATTCCCGTGTACTTTTAAATATTTTTATGCGATTTGTTGTGATGATGCAGAAATTTGATATCACGCTTATGATAAGTAAATTACCAATTTTCTGCATTGAAGAAAGACGTCATCACGGGAAGGTTTTTTTTTTTTTTTTTTTTTTTTTTTTTTACAATTTTAAGTATCTCGGGGTGGGAAATTTTTTTTTTTTTTTTTTTTCGAAACGCTGGGGATTTGAAGTTATCGGGAAAGGTTAAGAAAATGCAGTTCTTGTAGATATCTTATTCCGAGTTCTGCGATAGTTTGCGCATATATTATCTGAGGTCATATGATGATTATTAGTTATTTCTGTTGGGGAAAATAATTCACTTTTTGGTGAAGGTATTAATTCAACGATCGCGTATTACTCATTCATTTTATAACATTATAGAAAATACCATTAGAAAGCTATACAGTTTTTTCTTTTTCTGCCGGTGGGTGCTGTCAAATGATTAATTGATGCATTTTTGACCTCAAGGGAATTTATAATAATTTAAAAACATATTTTAAAAATCATTGAACTGTTTTTATATTAAGTAATGTCAACAGTATCCTTTGCGAAATTTTTATTCAATGAAATGTTTTAAATAAAATTATGATCTCCAAATTACATTTTATACAGGTAATATGATGTACATTATGTTATGATACCTGTGATCTCATGCCAGATATGCTTTTTGGAGTTTATGTTCTGATTGTTCTTTCATTTTAGGAAAGTCGTCTCTTACTATACAGTATGTAGAAGCTCGCTTTGTCGATTCCTATGAGCCAACCATTGAAAATAGTAAGTTTATATTTGGAATATTCGATATTATGTTTAAAAATGATAAACGTAGGTTGATTGTCATATATCTCCTTTCTTCTTAGCATTTACAAAAACTACTAAAGTAGGAGGCCAGGAATATTTTTTGAAATTGGTGGACACAGCTGGGCAGGTATGTTCAGTAATCACAAAATAAAAATTGTTTAGTCAAACTGTTGTATTACTTAGTTATATTATTTGAAAGTTTCTCATTTGTTTATTTGCTTTATAAATTCCTTTTCTTTTGAATATATTTTACTTAAATTATATTCAGAATTTAGATGTATATTAAAGTAGATTGTTGGGCATACAGATGCGTGAAATTTTTTAGTTCTGTTATTTGTGTATTATTAATATTATTTCATTTTAATGCTTATATTTTTTAAAGTGTTGTGTGAAATATTTGGGATTTAATTTTAAGAAGAATTTGATGGAAAAAGGTTATGTAATATGCATAATCAATTAATGGCAATATTATTCTCATAAACTATAAATATTTATTCCAGATCTTATTGTTAACTGCAAAATAACAATAACCAGAGATATGGATGCTTAGAATTTGAATGGAATGCTCCTTTAAAATTTTGTAGAAAATAATATATTAACTGTTTTTAGCTCACAGAAATCATCTCATTTTTAACACAAGTGAAATATTTTTGATTTTGATATTATTACCACTAAATAGTTCATACAGAAGTTATTCCTAAAGTCACTTTTAGCTAGGTATGCCACCTCGATGTGTAAATAAAAAATTTTAGAGAAAAATTGTTGCTTTCTAATATGATATTAGATGTGTCTTTATTAAAGTTGTCATTGCATATACCTTTGCAATATTTGAAAATTGCATGAGAGAGACTGAGTAGTTAAATGTGGCAATTTTGGGAATTAAGTGTGATGAGGACTTTTAACTTCATCAGTTTAAATGTTGATGACAGTACTTTAATCTTGCCTGTCTAGCAAAATACAAATGCTTTGTATAGTCCCTTCATTTGAAGCCTTCATTGTACAGTGATGGCAGATATTGTTTTACCAAAGTGACATTGCAGCCATGGATGTAACAGTTGTGTAGGTTTCTCGTGGATTTTCCTTGGCTATGATAGCAATATACCAATCTACAGAAGGGTGGTAACCTTTGGATGACTGACCACAGGCTTTTGGATGGCTGTTTTACCTGTTTGGAATTGTTTCTACACTTGGGAAATTACCAAATGATCATCAAAGAAAAGAGCAACGTCTTGATTGACTGTTCTGCTTCAATGCATTTGGCAGTGTGCCAGCATCCCCTATTTGCCATTCATCTTCTTTCAGCTGTAGAAACATATGTATAATTAAAAATGTTCCTGCAAAAGCTACTAACACCCCAAATCGGCATATAAATGAAGCTTTTCAAACTTTTTCACCTTCAGAATTCTGGCTTCTTCAACAACTGCTTAGTTAGCATATTGTTACGAAATGTCCAGCTGCGGTAGGATAGCTTCCCCGCAAAGCAGGTTTAGGGTTATCATATTTGTCACGAAATTGACCATTTGGTGACAAAATTGGGGATATGCCATAGACGGATGGAGTACCTTCTAGAACAAATTGTTACTGGTTTGGACCAGAATGTTCTCGAAGGCAGCCCAAAAGTTCTATAAACCCTGCATGCACGTGGAGTAGTAGTGAGTGAAAGTCAGTCAATAGTCAGTGTTTAGCGAGTGTATCATTTAGTGCATTGTGAGTTGTAGTCTTGAGAGTACGCAGAGTTCCGAGAACGACTAAACCAAGTTGGGAACTGTGCTCTGGTGCTTTGCTATGTAGCTGTCTTCTCTGTAATAGCCTGAAGGCTGTATTGCTGATTGTTTCAGCATGCTTGTCGTAGTTTTGATGACTGTAGATGTAATTTTGGAGCTTTCCTAAGTGATATTGAATAAATTGTGTCTTATTCTTCATCAAGTGTTGTCGGCAATCGCTCCAAATCCAGCAACCTGTGCAAGAATGCAGCAACTGGTGTCAGAAGTGGGATTTGCAAGCGAATACCAGGTAAAAGCCATTGCAGAGGAAATGAAGTTCACAGACTTCTTAGCAGCTGTAAAAGCCGGACTGGAAGAAATCCAGGCTGCGATGGAAGCTGGACTGAAAGAGATGAAAGCTATACGAGAAGAGATGAAAGCTGTAGATGAAGAGTTGAAAGCCTGATATGAAGAATTGAAAGCCAGATATGAAGAGATGAAGTTTGGACTAGAAGAGTTATTGATCAAAATTAAATTGTGTTAAGAAGAAATAAAAGCTTGAAGCCATAAAAAAAGATGTGGAAATGACAGAGGTGGCATCTGAAGAATCAAAGGATATAGAAATGAAGGAAGTTGCTGGTGCAGTTTTTGAGAAAGATGAAGAAATGATGAATGAAACATTTAATAGAATTAAAGAAAAAGAACAAAAACATGAAGAAATGAAAGAGAGGAAAGAAGCTTATCTCAGGTGCCTGAATTAGAAGTGGAAGAAAGTGAAAATGTGACTGTTAAGTTCCTAGAAACTGATAGTGAAGTTACGAAGTCGCAGTTAGAAAGTATTGAATCATCTGAAAATTCACGTGATGCAAAGCTGAGGGAAGCTGACGTACAGCTTAAGCAGAGTGCTTCAGTCTGGAAAGAGATTACACCGACTTCACAAACTAAGTGTGTGTCTCGTAATACAAGTTCTAAAGACACAAACTTGATTCTAAACCAAGGTACTCCTGTTTGTAAAGAATCAGGTTCCACTCATAACTATAATGCAAAATTTGGAACTGGTTCCCAGGAAACAGAAGAAAATAAGCATATAACAACTGCTATACTGAGGTGACCTGTACACATGATGCAAATAAACTACAGAGTGGTGAACAAACTGTTTCAGATTTTCCTGTGGATGAAGTCTCAAAGGACTGAATCTTCACACTGATATGCAAAACCTAAATACATCTGAGAATTGCAGTGGTATAATTAAAAATTGTTATGTGGTTAATCTCTGTAATGTAAATTGTACATAGTGTAAATATTTATCAGGTTTAGGGTTGCCAGAACATGGCAAGGAAAGCCATGGCTGCCATATTTAGCACGAAATTGCCCATTTGGCAGCAAATTTGGCGATATACCATAGACTGATGAAGAACCTTCTAGAACAAGTTCTTACCAGTTTGAAACAGAATGTTCTCGAAGGCAGACCAAAAGCTATATGTTTCTTGTTCTGTAGAGATCATATCTAAGGCACCCTGGAATCATTTACATAGAGTACCGAGTGCAATTGTTCTTTGCTACACAAGATGTGCTGTCTTCTCCATCATATTCACTGTGGTGCATTTGAAGGAGTGAGTGAAATATGAACACTAAGTCTTCTAGTCTTCTGGCAATCAATCTATGTGTGTGCTTTTTCTACTGATTGTAACAGCAGTTATTTTTCTTTCTTGCAGCTATAAAATGGCAACAATCTAATGTACTCTTGTGCTTTGCAATCTTCTAGCTGAAAGAGCAAAGTCCTAAGAAAGAGTTGTCACCAGTGCTCATCATATAACTGAGCATTTATTTTTTTATCTCATCTAGAAACTTTATTTAATACTCATATTATGTATTTTCCCAATATAAAAGTGAAAGAAATATTGTACTTTAAGTTTTAAAAGACAGTATTTGTATTAATTATTATTTTGTATGTAATAAAGATTTTTGAAAATATTAGTGTAAATCTTTTATCATAAAATTTTTATAATTTAATCCCATAACCATCCTTTACATGAGCCTTTAATGTGACTGGGAGAAAGTGCTAGGTAGGAAATAGATTCAAGCATCTGAGCAAACATCAGAGGAGATGTTTGCTTCTATATATATAATATATATTATTAAGAAAAATAATGATGCTTATTTTGTAATAAATTATTTAAAACAGAAATTGGTGATTTTTCCATGTTATTTAAATGTCAAATCTCTGAAACATGAAAATCTTTTGTTATATATAGATGTAGCTTACGTGAATTTTTCTTTTACTTTTTAGGATGAATTTTCCATTTTCCGCAATCATATTCAATGGATATCCATGGCTATGTTCTTGTTTATTCATTACTTCAGCAAGAAGGTATATATTATAATAATTAAGTAATTATTATTATTTTTTTAAAGTAAATAATTTTTTTTTATATATGCAAGTAGGGTTTAATGTCTAATTTTGTAGTAGCTTGTAGTTTCGAAGGTAAATTTTGAAATTAAATTCTATGTCTATTGAAATTATAGTATTGAAAATTAAGTTTTTGCTTTCTGTTTTCTTTTTAAAGGAAGCAAGAAGGTATATATTATAAATTAAGTAATTATTATTATTTTTTTTAAGTAAATAATTTTTTTTTATTATATGCAAGTAGGGTTAATGTCTAATTTTTGTAGTAGCTTGTAGTTTCGAAGGTAAATTTTGAAGTTTTAAAATTCTATGTCTATTGAAATTATAGTATTGAAAATTAAGTTTTTGCTTTCTGTTTTCTTTTTAAAGGAATACGTTTTCTTCATTTTGCAACATATTATTTTGCAGCAGTTTTCTGATAAATCATATCACTGAGCTTTTTATCATTGTTGGTGTGTGATTGATTCAGAATTTGAGAGTTTAAAATTTTGATAAGTTTGAACAAAAGCTGAAGTTGTATTCAATAATTAAAGTGACTTTGCTAGTTCCTATGAGTTTGAATCATTTAGAAGCAGTTGTATTTCATTTTTGATAACTGCAGTTTAATACTTATACTAGAGCTTCATTACATTGATGTAAATGTTGATTGATTTTTATGTAAGTGTTGATTTACTTGTGTGATTTGATGTATAATGTATAAGATAAAATAAGTTTAAATCTGAAAAGCTTGATTTTTATTGTGTTAACATATTCAATAATGTAATTTGTAATTATGTTGATCTCTGATTTTATTTATTTTTTTTTTTTTTTTAAATTTTATTTTCAGTTTTGAGATAGTGAAAACTATTTATCATAGATTATTAGATATGACTGGTAAAGTACAGTAAGTTATTTTTCATATTATTTTGTTTTCACAGTTTCAGAGTATTACCAGAAAAAGAGAAAAAATATCAGTAAAGAAAATTTCTCTGTATAAAATAATGATCTAGCTGGCAAATAAAAATTTTCCCTATATATTACTTTGTAAACACATTAAAACACCATAAAATCATAAAGATTTTAATAAGCATGAATTTGTAAGTTAAAACATGAAGCTTGCTCTATCTCGTAGGACTTTTCTCTGAAATTTTGATTTTTTTTAAAAATCCTTTGTGTTTAAGTGGACTATTATGTTATATTTTAAGAATGATCAAGCTTCATGTCAATGTACTTTTCACGTTAAAGCCACATTATGCATTTTTGATGTCATGTTGCTGCACATGCCTTTGGCTTGATATTAGACGAGGCAAAACAATCAGAAACGGCAACAAAAAAATATCCATGCAAAATTCCTCCATAACCCTATTATTAGGACCCATAATAGAATACAACCTGTATTTCTTTTTATAAATTTTCATGTATTTCCATAATTTTCTTACATTTATTGACTTTAACATGAAGATGAAATAAAAAAGGATTTGGCTCCTATTTCTCTGAAATAATTCCAGTCGCCCATTGTGTTGAGATTCATTTTGGTTAATAAAATTCAATAGACATTAACTCTTGACAAAGCAAAAAAAAAAAAAAAAAAAACACCGAGGGGTGTGGCTTTAATGACAAAGTACCCATGTGAGTAGGAATGAGGTGATGAAATTCAGGAATATTCAAAAATCTGTCAGAGATCTTTGATTATGATGAAAACCTATACCTGTTTGTCTTTGAAATCGATTGAGTTCTTGACTAAATCTAAACCAAACGGAAGGTTACTACTTTGCTAATTTTATAGGAAAACAGTTTTAAAAGTTTCACAATTTTATTTGAAATGGTTAGTTATTAGCATGAGAGTTATTTCTTAAATAAAGTCCATTTTGTGATAAATATAAAACAAGTAAAATTGTTTTAAAAAAATTCTGAATTTACATAAAATTTTCTACTTTTTCTGCATAATTTTCTTATCAGGTTACACATTTATTTTAACAGATAGCGAGTTTTGGCATACTCTCTTCATAGAACTCTGTCACTAGTGATGTTAGCCAAAGCTGTTTTCACTTCCCCATCAGTGGTTTTCATTTTTCTAAGCCATTTGCTCAACTTTCTTGTGTGTATGAAATAGGGTCTCAGTCGTCTGCACCAGTTGTATCGATGTTTACACATTGCTAACCAGATGCATTCGTCATAGGTATTTTCCTAATATCCTTTGAGCAGTCTCACTCATTCTAGCACTCTGCTTCCAACCATTGAATCATCACTGTAATTTTTACATATCTCGCAATGAATATCTGCAATTTTCATATATATTGTTGTTAAGAACTGGATGACTCACCATATTCTACAATTGGTGGGGCACATTTTTTCTTAAGCATTTTATTTTCATGCTATGAAGTGTACAGTCTGATAGCACAAATGCTTTATATTCTATGCAAAGAAAGCCAAGAGTCTGTGCACATGCTCATCCGCAAGCATACATGAAATTTCAGATCCACTATACTTAAAAAATAACTTACGTATAAATAATTCATGTTGCTGTTATGTTTTCAAAAAATTATGTTCATGGTATATTAGGTACACTACAAAAAAAGGGGGGGGGCAGAAATCAGAAAAATTGAACAGAATGATGCAAAATGCAGAAAAAAAAAAAAAAAAAGGAACAGAACGGGGAAAAGGTTAACTTACGTATAAATAATTCATGTTGCTGTTATATTTTCAAAAAATTGTGTTCATGGTATATTAGGTACACTACAAAAAGGGGGGACAGAAATCAGAAAAATTGAACAGAATGATGCAAAATGCAGCCCCCCCCCAAAAAAAGGAACAGAACGGGAAAAGTTAACTTACGTATAAATAATTCATGTTGCTGTTATATTTTCAAAAAATTATGTTCATGGTATATTAGGTACACTAGAAAAAAAAGGGGGGGACAGAAATCAGAAAAATTGAACAGAATGATGCAAAATGCAGCCCCCCCCAAAAAAAGGAACAGAACGGGAAAATTATCTCTTCTGCTGGGCCAATTGACGAAATTCAAATTGCGTTTTTCATGTCTCAAAATGTATTAGATTTATAGGTACTATTCTGTTTTGAGGACTGTAAAAAAATTGCAGTGTTCCCATCAGTGCATATGCGCCAAATCTAGCATATGCACTGATTTCAGATTGCGCAAGTTTAGATAGTTCTGTTTTTCTTAAGACACCATTGAAATAGTAGTTTAATTTTTAAATCCTTTTTTGATATCCTATGGGTTTAACAATTTGGGATTTGCTCATGACGAAAAATCTGCAATATAATGTTTTCAAAGAAAATCATTCATTATAAAAAATTATGTTTGAACAGCCAATGAGATGAAATTATGCTTTAGCGATAACTCAGTAGCGAAATAGCGATGCAGGAATCCATTCAGTTATGTTTAGCCTTTTTTATATAAATTATTATAATAAAAAAGTATTATATGAAATTAACCTTTCTTCTAAATTAAAACAATAAAATTTTAGATAGTTATTTACTATTATACTTCCTTTCTTGCATTAGGGTTGCTGCAATTATTTTTAGTAGCACTGGGATCAACAATAGTTTGGCAATTTTTATGGTCCTCAAAACAGAGTAGTACTGATTTCTATATAGAATTGTTCTAATGTAGGTATTTTGACACAAAATTGGATTTTTTCTGAAATGAACATGCTAGTTTTTTCCATATTTCGATTTTATGACTAAAATTATGCCAAACTACCAAGTTTTGTAAAAAATCACACAAGTAGTTTTTTAAAAATTAGTTCTCAAAATTTTGGCTCCTCCATGTTAATTGAATTTGGTATATATTTATTAGTATAAATCTTTTTTATTTATTTATTTTATTAAACTTACTTGATTCATTCTTCCAGAATTTGAAATTTAGTCTTAATTGAAATATAATTTGCACATTCTTTTTGATTTATTTTTAAAGTTTGTATTTTCAAATATTTTTTATAAATTTTTTGGAAAAAGGTTTGAATTAGAACTTATAAAATTTGTACCATTATCTGGTACTCGTTCTGTTTTGAGGGCCGTAAAAAAAAAATTGCAGCGAAAATGTATGCTCAAAAGCGCCAAATCTAGCAAACACGCCCATTTAACAGCGCGCCAAATTTCGCATATGCGCTGGTTTCAGATTGCGTAAGTTTATATAGTTCTATATTTCTTAAGACACCATTGAAATACTAGTTTAATTTTTAAATCCTTTTTTGAATTTAAACCTTTTTTTGATATCCTATGGATTTAACAATTTGGGAATTGCCCATGATGAAAAGTCGGCAATAGAATTTTGGGTAAAGTGCAGAATCACTTACTGCTTGACGCGTTTTTAAGAATTGCACATACTTGGTATCCATGTGCACATCGACCTATTTTCACTTAAAAAAAAATCCCAGAATTGCACAAAAATGGCACTGCGCACCCCCTTGACTTTATCTATGTACACATCAACCTATTTTCATTTAAAAAGTAAAATAAAATTGACAAAAATCCAATTGTTTTTACCCTTGTAAAAAGTGGCAAACAAATAAGTGAGCGATTCTGCACTTCTGGATTCCGATTCTGAATATTTTCAAAGAAAAGGCATCATTCATTAAAGAAAATTACGTTTGAACAACCAACGAGATGAAATTATGCTTTGGCGATAAGTCCGTAGTGAAATAGCGATGCAGGCATCCATTCAGTTATGTTTAGCAATTTTTATATAAATTATAATAATGATCTGAAATAGTTATTTTCTCTTATGCTTCCATTCAGTCATGTTTAGCCTTTTTCATATAAATTATAATAATAAAAAAGTATTATATGAAATTAACCTTTCCTGTAAATTAAAACATCAATCTTAGATAGTTATTTACTATTATACTTTCTTTCTTGCTGCAATTATTAGGGTTGATGCAATTATTTTTGCAGCATTGGCATCAACAATAGTTTGGCGATTTTTTACGGCCCTCGAAACCGAATAGTACCAGTATATAAAGTAGATGTATTTACAAGCACACCTGCAAAAAATTAGAGTAATTATTCAAAATTTCCTAAGCTATATATGAATTTACATATTGGCTCATTTTGGAATTTGGCATATTTGTTATAAGTGGTAATAACGCCAAATGTGATTTACGCACTTTGTGAAAATTATTGAAAGTTTGAACGATGACCATTTTTCCACTTGTGTACAAAGAAAAGAAAATAGGTTGCTATAAGTTAAGTAGTTCGCCATGTGTATTAAGAAGTTTTCCATTCTTGGGACAAATTGAAAAAAATGCAGCGGGGTAAATTTTAAAATTTCTCACCAAAAATTTCAAAATTTAATATTTAGGCATACTTTGAGTCATAGAATTAAAATATGGAAAAAAAATTGGTATGTTATTTCAGAAAAAGTCGATTTTGTGTTAAAATACCTATGTTAGAACAGCGCTATATATAAATCTAATATATATATACTAAGTCATGCTTTTGAGACATAAAAAATGCAATTTTTATTTCATCAATCAGCCCAGTAGAACGGGAGATATAGAACTGTTCCCGACTTTTTTTTTTGCACAGTCTACGTAATACAGTACAAAGTCTTTAATCCGGACTCGTCGGGACTTCTACGATTCCGGATTATAGATCATCAATTTAAATCTGGTAAGATGGCATGCAAAAATTATAAAATTAAAAATATGAAACCGTAACTTATGAAATAAAGAGCAATTATGATCTAAAGGGTATCAAAATTCAAAAAAAAAAAAAAAAAAAAAGAAGCTTAATATTTATTTGTTTACTTTATTAAACATTTCTTTCAATGTAAGTTGTTTAAGTTGCTTCGTCTTATGTGTTAATACTTTCTCTTTAATTCTATAAACAGATATAATTTCTTGTTCAGTTACAAAGTTCCACTGTTCAAGTCCTGTAATT